CACAGAAGACCATTGCTCTTTCTTCTACGGAAGCTGAGTACATGGCAATGAGCGACTGCAGTCGCCAAGTGGTCTGGGTTCGCAATCTACTTGCTGAACTTGACTACCATGTCGATCACATACCTCTATCCGGAGACAATCAAGGATCGATCTTCATTGCATCGAATCCTGTGACGGAGTCAAGGTCAAAGCACATTGACATCCGATATCACTATATCCGTGAGGTACATGATAAAGGAATCGTTGATGTCTTCTATATAGACGGAAACGACAATCCTGCGGACATCTTTACCAAGAACCTTGGTGTAGTGAAGTTCTTGAAATTTCGCTCACAACTTGGTCTCCGCTTCCCAAAGTCCAGAGCTGCTTAAAGCGCCTGCTACGCTTGCGTAACCGTTCGGATACTTAGCGAGGGGGAGTGTTGAACAGGCACTGGTTTACACAGCTTGCCTAATACAGCCGTCACAAGATATGGAACGGCACAGCCGGTTACTGCAATAACCGAGGCTGTACTACTCATGTGGTACACACACAGCTTCGCTGTGTACGCACTGCTTCTCTGTGCGACTGTGCATCCTGGGAATGTACTGTATAGTACTACGTAGCCACAGATGTACAGTAGTATATATAGGGGACCTCTGTACCCCCAATCTACAGTTCAGTTCACTCGAACTTCTCCTCTCATCGCTCTTACAAGCCTCTTACAATCAACCAACCCTTCTAGGTGAGTTGTAGGCTATCCGCTGTCGTTGCCACCCGTGGGAGAGGTCTTCGCCCCCCGGGTTCAACAGTGAAGATCGCCAATCACGGCACAATGGCAACGTACCGAGTTGCCAGGCTTCAGAAGATCCTTACAACGCTTTGGAGGGACTAGTGCACCGAGTCTCGAAGTGTTCCAGCCACAAAGCTCTTCGCCAGTCCGACGAGGAGAGCCTTGTTGTCTAGTCATTGTGTGTCAGTATCGGAGAATGATCTTACAAATACACACGGCACGATGGGCATTGGCCAATGCCCCGGACCCAAACCAGGACAGAGAAATGGACCGGGAATGTATGCCTTTCCTGGTCCTGGTCCCAAAGCCTAGCTCCGGACCCCAGCCAGCCGGCGCTAATACCAGAAAAGGAATATTGAGGCTGACAAATTATATGACATCAGTGGTTTTGCTCCTTTTTTGGATGGTCTCAAGCGCCAACATCCTGTTTCTGGTATCAGAGCGCCGGCTGGCTCGGGTCCGGAGCTAGGCTTTGGGACATAACCTGTGACAGGCATCCATTCCCAGGCCATTTCTCTGTCCCAGTTTGGGTCCGGGACATTGGCCAATGCCCGTCGTGCGGGGATATATTGGTGAACTGGGACAGAATAACGTACCAATCTGAGGGTGCGATCTTGAAGCGAAGTCTTTACGACACGTGAGACGGGCTCCGCCGACACCTTCGGGGGAATCTCCTTTGTTAGTACGCCAGAAATCAAGGGGAAGGATGGAAATTTACGCACTTACAGATACGGGCAATGAGGGGGGGAGGTGAGATGGGGAGGGCGGATGAGCCAGGGCCCAGCCTTATATTGACGGCCACTCGGGCGCCCAGTGACTCAAGCTTGTGGCTGGACTGCCTCCAAGCTATACGGACAGTCTTAAATGACACCTCGGGCCATTTCGAACGAAGAAACCGCATGTCATGGTTTCTCATCACGGAAAAATGCATCAGACTGATCCAGGGTACCCCAGGCCATGAGCGATGCCTTTGGTAGACACGAGATGTTTGGATTGATGCAGAAATATTAACCTGAGCAGCCGGTCCAAGCCTCGCCAGACTGCGAATGTCATGTCAGCCAATGATGTGAGCCTATCCTGAGCTTCTTTGACAGACATAGGGGAAGTGGAGTACATAGCCTCGTGGGTTCAATAGCGCGTGTAGTTGGTCAACTTTCGTGGAAGAGCGAAAGGCACAATCCAGTCCAGGAACGGCAGCACATGGATCTAAAGGCTATGTGAGGCCAAAGATCGTCTCTGTAGCAGGGATGCAACTGAATACTCACGTTGTCGAATACGCGTCGGTTTCTCTATGTCTCCCTCTGTGCGTACGTGTCAAGAGAAAGAAATTCATCGACAAAAATGTTTCAATAACATTGTCACAATGGTCTGCAGCCTGAGCCTCGGGATGTGAGGCCACGACATATATTGGCAATCGTGGGATCGGCCTCAGAGACCGAATGCATGAAGTAGAGCTCCCACAGACGAGACACCATGTCTCCTTCAGTCCCTCTTTCCCCCTGCTACTCTGGCATCGGGATTCAAGAACTGCTTGCCTTCCTGCTCTCCCAGAGGCTTGGTAATCATGTTAACATAACTTCAGCGCCACTACACCACTATGTCTCAGCCTACCCCGGCGCCGACCGCGCCCTGCCCAATAGCCCTTCGCTGCTAAACCTTCTGCTCACTCGGCTGTGTGTTGCGTTCTGCCTGCTCCTCGCTTGTGAGTTCTTCCCCCGCCCGTGTAGATCTATACATACTTCCGAGCGTGCATGCGGTGCTTCAAACATCGCCGGTCATCCAGTCGAATCGACCGACGCAGGCGGAGGGCTGCCCTCAGGTGGACTATCAGCGTGGCCCATCTGCGACAGCCCCGTGGTAGGTGTTGATAGAGTATCCTTCGATCCCTTCACTTCTGGAGACGAGGTTAAGACGGGTGGGACCCAAGCACCCTCACCGAAGGAAGATGGGACGTCAGATATGATGATGCTGGTCTGAAATAGCCCTGCTTCTTCCCAAGACGGGAACCTGACGTTCGTCTGGTCCTTGATCGCGTTGTAGACCCTGCCCTCCAGCTCGATATGCACCACGAAGGTATGCTGAGGAGTCAGCTTGCAGCGGGAGAACGACAGGCGGATCGTCTGCTCGATGTCTCCAAAGTCCTTCGTCCAGCCCGGCCAAGCCTCCAGGTGGTGCTCCTGACAGTCGTGCGCCACGTCCCACTTGTCACTCCAGTTCGCTGAGTAACGTGACATCGCCTTCGCCCAACGTGCCCTACTGTCAGGTGATTTCCCGCACGTCCCGAGGAGGAGTCGGATCCCTTCCCTCACGTCGACATCCGTGAAGCTCGCCACCACCGCGAGCGGCTTCCCATCCGCAGGCTTGCTCCGCACATCTAGTGGCCGTAGCTCCATTCCTAGCAGTGTCACCCTCCCGATGAGCCAGTGAGGGATACAGAACGGCGGTGCAGGAAGCAGACTGTGCAAAGGGTAGCAGAGGTTCATTGGGACGTCCCTCTTTATCGGTGGTGGGCTGTCCGCGATGAAGATGTCGCGCCACTCCGCCGTGACCGTCTTGCCATTGAGCCGGAGGTCGTAAAAATTGTTGCCGAGGGAGACAAGGCGGGTGAAGGATATACTGCCGGAGGCCAGCCTGAATCCATAGCCGACGTGGTACTTCTTCCTCGTAGGATCTTGGATAATCCAGTTTGATGGATGCAGGAAGAGGCCGATGTATTCGCGGTGAGTATCGCAGAGAAGGACTGCGATGGTGAGCCCATCCGATTCGATGATCGGGAACCAGCATTCTAGCCCATAGCTCGTCACGAAGAACTTCGGCAGCTCAACGCGACCGAACGGACCGTATCGTCTCCGAGGGCTGTTTTGTGGCTTGTTCTGGGTGACACAATCCTGGGTCAAATATATACCATCGGCTGAGAACCGTGAGCTCTTACCGGAAACTTCTTCCATTGCCATTCGAGATACGGCTGGATCGGTTCAGTTGCGGCAGGTGAATAACGTAGTGACCGTCCGAATGGCTTGGTGAAGCTTGATGGTGAGTTGGCGAGTAGATAGACGTGGTTCTTGGATGAGGTATTGAAGAGCTTATAGATCTCGTGCTCCTCCAGAGGGTTCAGGGTGCCAGAGTTGAGCGAGCGGCCCCAAGCAAACAGGCTTGTGTCGAAGGACTGCTTCATGATCACGTGCTGCAGGCGCTGGAACGCTTGACGTCCCTCCCCGTAGATCGTAGGCATGTTGACATTGAATAGGCCCATGAGGCAGTACGCCTCGTCCTCGACACGAGTTGTGCTCCGCGAGCTCGCCCAGTTCATGCGCCTCCCGACGCTGGCGGTCGAGAAGTGGGTCTCCCGCGTCAGCACCTGCCATCCCACCCCGGTGATCTGTTGGAGCAGCTGGGCGAGCTCGTGTTTAGTCCCGATGGTCTTCCAGTCCTGTGCCACAAAGATGACGAGCGAGGGCGAGATGAGCTCCTGCAACGTCCACCCGCCCTTATGCCAGCGTGCGTTTCGGAAGGCCGAGTCGGACGCTTCCAGCACGCAGTCGCTCGGGACGTCCTCGAGGTACCCGAAGCAGACCTCCGCGCAGGCATACCAAAGGAACATCGAATTGATCGCTTCGGAGAGCTCTGTACTGCTTGTCTTGTCGATGCAACACGTGTCTACCCACGCCCACTGGTACCCGTGACGTTCGGCAAGGATGCAGCACTCGTGGATCTTCGCCGATGCGAGGTCACGAGGGTTCTCCCCGGTGGTCTTGCATTGTTGGTTGAGGGCTTGTATCTCCTCGAATGACTGCTTGCAATCACCCCAAGTATGGGACAGGATCGCATAGCCGCCTGTGACGGCTTCCGGGGCAGAGAAGAACTGAAGTTCCGCACGGGAAGTACTCAAGAGCCACATTTGTCTGAACACTTCGTGCAATCAGTACAAAGTACAAAAGGAAGAAAGCTGATCCATGGCATCTAGCTCACCAGGTCTTCGTAGAGAAGCACTTTGAATGATGCCAATCGCCTTGAACGGACCTGAGCAATATTTGTGAGATGGCCTCAGATAGGGAAACCAGGCCGTGATAACTCACCTGTGCCGAAGCCGCCGGGCATCGTGCCGCCAGTGTACATTATGTCATGGTGTTGAACAATGAAAAGTTGGTCAGACCGGGGATTGAACCCGGGTCATTCCATATGCGCTGGGAGGTGTTACCACTACACCATCCAACCAATACTAGAGTGTGAATTCTACAGATTCCAACACATGGGCTGCAGGCCACCGCCGGTGATACTTGGTGATAAACTCGGGGCTGTGAAGACAAGGATTAGATCCGACTAGAGTCGAAGCAAGATCTTCAGTCAGTAAGGAAAGACTTTATTGCAGCAACCAACTGTACCTAGAGTCGAAGCAAGACTACAAAGGTCAAGTAAGTAACTACAAGTTAGACATAGATGTAAGGAAGTACTCACTCTTCAGTCAGTAAGGAAAGACTGAAGAGGGAGGACGCAATCTGAAGTCCTTATATACTACAGAGAAGTGTCCATGACTAATCAAAGAGTGGTTAGTCACATGTACCATAGTGCGATGAATAATACGATGGTGAAAGAATTGCGACGTATCGCACCATAGGATGAGTAAGAGATGAGTAAGGCATAGACCTGTCTAGACCGTTCTGGAGTAGTACAGATTGTCCTAGACAGTACCAGAAGAGTCCGGAAACATAGCTATAGTACACGAGCAGAGAGTCCCAAATATGGTAACATACTACATAAGCGACCACAGCTAAGCGCTAGGAGATGCATAGCCTCGTGTAGTCCGGACCGGATAAGTCCAAGTTCAACACTTGGCATTTCACATGCTTCAACATGTGCCCAACATTCTGCAGGTTGCCGCCGACTGCGTGATTGCTATGAGTGAGCATTTGTGCTCAGACGGCTCTACCTGGTGATTAGTGTACAGGGCAGAATAGTTTCAGCCTCTGGCAAATGGCAGATTGGCAAATATGGCAATTGCCAGGGCCAGCAAATACTGGCAGATCAACGGGCGCTCCGGGGAGCCTCTGGCGATGGAGAGTGAGTAGAGCTATCCATTGAGGCCACAGAAAATATCCCATGCTCTTTAGTGAAGATTTAGAACATGAATACTGCATATATATCGCTGTCTATCCACTTCCCGCAACAGAGTACACTCATACAGGTGATTTCCCATCTAGCTAAGAGTTTCAGCCCATCAGTCAGGCGCCAGGATGACTTCTCAAGACAAGCTAGTCAATAAGGCGGCCACCAATTGTCTCACTCATAACACATACCGCTATATTGAAACAATTCCCAGAGTATAGAGTGGAAGGACTGTCTCTTACTGAGCTACTCTGTCTCTGTGGGCGACCGGCAACAGCTCCATTAATAGTAAGCGCTCGACAAGCGCCGTGTATCTGCCACCAAATTGCCGGTCTCGGTGGCGGGCAAAATGGCAATTGCCGCTTGGCAGTTGCCTCTGGCAGATTGGCAGCGTTCTGCCAAGAACACTACTGGTGATGCATTCGGATGCCGTCATCCCTGTCGTCCCCTTGGAAGCAACGTCGTATACACAGCATGACAAGCGAGCTCACCGCTGTTCGTAGCCTCCCAAACTCTGCGTGATACGAGGTCGCGAGAAAACAGATCCAGATATGGATTCCACTGGATTCCCATTCCCATGCCCATCCGTTGCGTCTCCTGTCGAGTTGAGATCGACGTATACGACCTGCGCACCAACAAACGGTCATGTCCTAAGAACGTTGCGAGGTAAGCTGTCATTCGGAGCATAGACCGAGACAGGACTTTGAATCACGATGTATACGTACTTCGGACGGATGCAGCATCACTGGCAGGGGGAAGCTGGCGAAGGCTGGGTTGGAGAACGACGCCTCCAGGACATGGTAGCAAAAGATACGGGCAAATCGTGATGCTGCGGCGGAGGCTCGTTTGACCGCATGCAGTACACGAGCGAGACGCGATCCGGTCGTGGACGGCCCGGAAGGGCGGAAGTGTCTGACCTGCGATGGGGTGGACTCGGTTGCGAGGTCAACCAGCTCCTCTATACTGATATCATGATCAGCCACAACATTCTGGGCCATGGCAATGCTGAATGCGCCCTCACCGGTGAATGTACTCAACATGTTCATGCATCCTATACGACTGATAAGCGACCTATGACGTAGATTGTAGAACTGAATGTACCTTTGACTATATGCCAGTGCACGCGGGTTGACAGGTTCTTTCCATTGCCCCAATACAAGGACACTTGTGTCATACACAGGACAAGGCGTAAAGGAGAGGCCGATTTTGCCTGAGCGGTCGTACCATGTATAAGAGCCTGCATGCAGTTAGAACGCATTGAGAGGACCTATCAAAGACGACGCACCGTCCGGGCGGCCATGACTATCTCGCCCTTCTGGCCAAGAGGAGATATGGTCCCACTCACAGTTGTGGGTGAGATATTGATCTGGCGATGGCGCCGACGCATGAGACAAGCGAACATAGAATCTCGCAAAATGCTAGCGAGGCTCCGCCAAGTCACAGACTCCGAGCACGAACCACAACGTCGATTGTTGCGCTAGCCCGTCGTAGCGTGAGAAGCAGAACGCGATGGGGGCTTCCCCGTCCCAGTCGAACTCGACGGTCGGTGTGCTCTCCAGCTTCCAGCCGTCGAAAGCGGCGCTCACGGACTCCCAGGTAATCCGGAATGGCGTTCGAATGCGCTCGTGCTGGAGCACGAGAGGAATCGGGGACGATGCCTGTCCCTTCGGGGTTGTGTGCCAGAGCGCAATATACAGCTCCTGCGGACGAAGTGTGAAGGATGCCCATGGCCAATCGGCTTCTGAGAGTCCGACTAGGCGGGATCCTTGACGGTACCCTGTAGACAGTGCTACACAGTGGTAGAGAGGTTTGGATTCGTCTGGTGGTGGATCTTGACAGCGGCGAAGAAGGAGCCACAAGGATCGCGTCTCGCCTTCGAAGCCGTCCCAGCCACATCCCATCCATGCTAGAGTGAGCTCGCCAAAACCAAAGCACATAAGGCGACAAAGACAGCCGTAGTATGGTGTCATAGTGAACGTGGGGATCTCCTTCATCCTAGAACTATGAAGATCAATGTGCGTCAGTGATCTGGGAGAAATGGGCAGCAACTTCCAGTGACGTACTAGGTAGACACCGACCGAAAAGCGTTTGGCAAGAACCTAGTCCTGCCAGAGTCCGACGGATTGAAGTCGTCCGGGGACCTCGCAAGGAGATATGACTCGTATTTTGTGTGCTCATGACCTGCTGAACGCTCGTGACTAGACATGCCCGAGAACGACCCCCAAGCAAACAAGGATGGGTCGATTGATTACTCCATTATCTCCTCTTGCAGTCGCTGGAACGCCCGTTCGCCTTCGCCATAGATGGTCGTCATGTTGACCGCGAAGATCCCCATCAGCGAGTAGGCACGATCCTCGACCCGCGTTGTCTCCCGCTTGTATGCCCAGGACATGCGCTGTGCGATGCTGAAACTGGTGACCGGCTTATCCATCAGGAGCACTTCAACGGGGATATTGGTAATCCTGCTCAGGAAGCGGGCGTGTCTCATCTTGGTACCGAGCTTTTGCCAGTCTGACGAGATCAGCTTGACCACGGGGGCTGCGATGAGCTCCTGAAGTGTCCAGCCGTGCATTTGCCACCTGCTCTTCGCGAACGGCCCCTCCGGATCGCAGGAAAAGCGGTTGCTCGGAACGTCCGCCAGGTAGGCGTAGCACACAGCGGCGAGGGAATAGTAGCGATACATGGAGTTGATCGCTTCGGAGAGCTCGGCAGAGCTGTCCTTGTTGATGCAGCAGGTATCATCCCAGAGCCAACGGAAGCGGTCCTGTTGCGCGATGATACAGATCTGACGGACCTTTTTGGAGGCAGCGTCGCGAGCATTGGGACGCTGGAGAAGGAGATCTTCGTCATATTTTGGAGTCTGGTGGAACAGTTGCTCCTTCTTCCCCCATACGTGCGAGAGGATAGCATAACTGCCAGGGACAGTCTCGGGGTCGGTGAAATAGTGGAGCTCGGCGCGATCGGTGCTAAGGAGCCACATACCGACTGTATAACCCAAATGTCTCTATGAGTCACGCTTGTCAGTCAAGGATTAATGATAACGTACCGGGTCGCTGGGTCGAAAGTCTCGCGCGCAAAAAGGAGGGGAGCGGAGGACTATGTCGGGGGAGAATAGGCAGTCTCTGTAGAGCATACGCAGCGGTACGGACTGTATGATGGGGCAAATTGTGTCATGAGTAACGCCTGTCGTCATCTGTGGGCTCTGAGCGTTCGACGTACCAGGACTACGATATCCAGAACGTGTCTGGTCTGTCACTGTGCCAGGACACGGATAGAAAACATAAGTCAACTGGGAGAATTGCAGGAAGCGGGGTCAAGAAGGGAATAGCGACCAAGCTACCATGAATAGATAGCCGCTCGAGGACATGCCGTCTGGATCGTAGTTGATGTGATCCATAGCTGTCAGGCGTGCAATCAAACTCAAGAACCGTGACATGATATGTGCGTTCGTCCTCATATGTACGCTGTCCGACCAAAACGCAGGTGGATGTGGCGTGGGAGGACAGCTGAGAAAGCGAAGCTATCCTGTTAGGACACAATCTGCCCGCAATCAATAGGTATTTAGCCGTCGGAGATGGGCCGACGAGCTTCACTCTATGTTGAGATGCTAGCGTATACAGCAAGTACTAGAAGACATCAGTCTTACAGAGATATGACAACAAAGGTGAAAATCGCTCGAACTCTTAACACTGCTCCAAGAGCTTGTTCTTCGGAAACACCTGCTTGTAGTCGTCGACCCATGTCGTTAGATCTGGGTTTGCATACGCTTCCTGGTACCTGAATCGTCGATTGCACTAGTCAACGATTTGAGGGCGCTATGAGAGTGAGGGAGGACGCACTGGGAGATGTACGCGGAGGTTGGGAAAGCAGAGGGGTCGCATCCGATGTTAATCGCATTCGGATCCTGATAGACCCTGATCCAGTCGACGCGCATCGTTGACGGAAACGTCAACTTGTCGAATTCGATCTCGCCGAACCCACTAGACATGCCCAGATTCATGATGAGGTACTGGACGCCAAAAAGATGTCAGTACGAGACCAGACACAAAGAGATTGACTGGCACTGACCATTGGTTCTTGGGGTATAGCTCGATCACTGATTCCGACAACTGGATCAGGCCCCAACAACGATTGATGGAGAGTCCATGAAGTCTTCCCATTGGCTACCCAGGAGATATACTGAGACGTCAAGAGTTCAGAAGCCGATAGCCGATCGATAGATGAGAGCAGGACTCACCGCGTCACCGAAACCAGGCTTGTACTGGAAGCCGTACAACGCATAATTTCCGCCGCTGAACTCGAAGGCCGTCTGATCTTTGCGCGGTCCAAGTATGTCAGACGGTATGGAAGCCCATGTCCGATACGATTGGGCCTACCAGTAGCGGTGACTACAGACGTGGCTTGCTGGTACACTCCTCCCGAGTACGAGTTGTTACGACTCAGGGTAGGATCTGCTGTATCATACGTGCCATCGGTTTGATACTTCCAGTTCATTGGCTGTTCCTACAATTTAGGGGCTGGCGAAGCCGATGAGCAATAGCACATACCGCCCATTGACAAGACTGAGAGACTCCCGCGACTCTGTCACCGACTGGCGTCCCACCAATCTGGCACAGGGGGCATGCTGAGAAATATCATATGCTCTGGGATTTGCATTTCAACGACATACCTGGGCTTCGAACATATCGATCTCGGGAGCGGAGCGACCAACATACTCCCCATTATCGTGAAGAGGGCCGAGATGAGATTCGCCGGGACAGGTGCAGCGCGACAGCCGCTGGCCGGGCTGGAACGAGAGCGCACCGTTGTTGTAGGGGTCGTTGCCTTCGAGCGCTGCGGCGGGCTCTTGCCCAATCGTCTGGTTGTTCACCGTCCCGACATCGCACGCATCGTAGCTGTAGGGCCACTGGAAAGCCCGGTGTCCGTTACTCGAAGCGTATGCAGGCTGAGGTCAGCGCACGCACCATACCATCGAGCGATGCGCCATAACCTGCGCGCCCCAGATTGCCCATAGCCCATATAGCCGGCCAGAGCCCGCGCACGTTGTTGTACCCAGGAAGCATGACGCTCGCTTCCACCAAGCCACCCGTGAAGCAGAACTTGTTCCAGGACTGGAGCATGCCGCCCGTATAGTTGAGGCCGTGGTTCGTTTGGTTCGACAGTTGTATCTCCAGCGAACCGTTGCGTGTCGTGATCGCCTTCGGGTCGTACCACTCCTTGTTCCCCGTGGCCCAGTAGTGCAGGTCGACCGCTTCCCAGTACGGGTCGTCCCCAGGGTAGAAAAAGCGCCCCTCGGTGTTGAACTCGTCGCTGAAGACGAGCTGCCACTTCTTGCCGGTCACATAGTCGCTCTTCGTCCGCACCTCCTGCGGGGTGTCGCGATCGATGAGGCCGCGGATCCCAGGAATGTCCGGAACTTGTCCGGTACGATTGGTGCCCCCCAAGCCGAATCCATTCAGATACGACTGCTGTGGTTTGTTGAGCCATGAGATGATGGGGTACCCGCAACTCGGATCTGATGTTTGCCAGAGGTCTTGATGAACATGAATTAGGGAAGACGTACAATAGTACCACAATGCTTCCGACGAGAATAAGCAGACACCCCAGATTGACGAGACCGCGTCCCGTGAAGATGTGTCCGCTACTGTTTATGCGCTCTTTCCTCGGCTCTGGATTGTGCAGATAGTCGTCCTCTTCCAAACCGTTAAAGGTACGTGGGTCCATAGGAAGAATGTACTGCAAGAGCGTCAGCGACACGCTTGTCTGCAATGAACACAATCACAGCACCTTCTCCGATATCGCGGGTGGTGTAGCATCGTTTGTCATAGACTGTAGCTGCCGTTTCAGATTCGAGATACACGGTCGAATTTAAGAAGCATACCAACGAAGAATGAGAACTCGCGCGAACGAATTGCGCTGCTGGG